CGTCCTGACCCACCCTGCCTGGTTCCAGGGGAGATGTTAATCCCGTATTACTCTGGCCGCGTGATCGACATCCTGGGAGGCGATTTTGACCCCGAAGCCTTCGCCAGCGCCATCTTTTTCATGTGTCTTTTCTCCTTTGGGAGGTAGGTGATGGCCGACGGTCCACGTGCTAGGCCCCAACAGGGCCCCTCGCAGTCCTAACTGGCACTCAAACTGAAGCGTGCGTGCGCCTTCTTACCCGCCATTCCACTTCATGGGTCCATTCATTCCCCCATCCCGCCACCATCTTCTTGCCACCATCTTCAAAGTTTGTATTACATTATCACAGCACGAAGACAGCGAATGTGGGACACGATGCAGTGTCTCAGTGGCCCCTCAACATTTTCATCTCATGAAATTCTCTTTGTCTTCTCCCTCCCACCTCAAGTTTGTTTCCGAAGTTACCTCTTGTCAGGGCGGGCGTTTCTCCCTGACCCTCCCCACTCGCCTCTGAAGATCTTACCCTGCCCCTTGTCACTCTTCTTTCCGGCACCTTTCTGTTTCCCACGTCATGGCTTTCCCCTCTCTTTTTAGACATACCCAGGAGTCTGCTGTCAGCCACCTACCTACCTACCTACCTATCTCCCTACCTAGGGCGGGGCTGGGATGGGTAGGATGAGGTGGGTGAGGCACCGAGGGCACACAAGTGAAGGAGTTGCTCACTCTCCTCACCCTCGTACCCGGTAGCCCAGAAACCACTTCTTCATATGTCTTCATTCCATTCTTGCTTCTTTTTGCTGAAACCGATTTCTTAAAAGTGGTGTGTGTGTGTGTTTTTTTTTTAAATCGAACTTAAAAAAAATCGGTCATCAATTCTCTTTGCTTCTGTAGCACTTGGCATTAACAATCTCTCATTATTGATCTCTTTCTCGAGTTAGCTTTTATGAACTCTATTTCCCTTCCAGGCCACTCTGGAAATGTCCCTTCTCTGGACACTTAAGCATGAACTTTCCTCCTCACTCAGGCCTTTGATCTTTAAGAGCATTTTCCCCACTTAGCTGACTCAGTTCATCTCTGTAGGTGTCTCCAAGATCCGAGTTTCCGTGTCCAGTTCCAGCCGTGTAATCCAGTTGCCCCCTCGACCTTTGGCGTGGACAGCCCACTCTCATCTCACACTCCACACACCCGGGGCTCCAGATACCTCCCCCTTCCCCCGGGTCTTGTTCCCCTGCCTGAAAGCATCAGTCCCCTGGGCTCCAGCATCAGCGCCAGGGATGCCTTCCTCGCGTTCAGAACTAGCCACGTCGTTTTCTGCGTTCACAGTGTTTCTCCTGTGGCTCTTTTCTCTCTGTTCTCACTGCGATCAAAGTCCAAACCCTCATCATTTTGTGACTGACTGTATCCCAACAGCCTCCCAAACCTGGTACTGGATTTGTATGAGAAACCCATATTTTGCAGAATACCTGCTTCCATGCTTTCACATTTCCCCTTCACATTTTATTGTAAACTAGAGGCCTGGTGCACGAAATTCATGCAGGGTAGGGTCCCTAGGCCCGGCCGGTGATCAGTGCTGATCAGAGCCTTCCGGATGCTGGCCAGGGCCGTCCTTCGTTCTGTGCCGCCCCCTGGTGGTCAGCGCACGTCATAGTGAGCAGTCGAACTCCTGGCGGGTGGAACTCCTGAGGGGACAATTTGCATATTAGCCTTTTATCATATAGGATATCTGGTTGGTCTAAGAGGAGTTGTCCAACTCCAGGGCCTCTAGAGTGGGGAACAAAAAGATAGGGCTCAGGGGCTTGGGAGGGCGGTTCCCACAGAGAAGTACCCAGGGCGAGGAGGAAGGACTTTGGGGTGGGGAGAAAGGAGGCTGAGACCGAGGGGAAGCCTGGAGGGATAGCTGGGGGAGGCCAGGCAGCCACAGCCATCTCTATTTACGATATCTTCTCACTTCTATTGTATTCTTCCCTTGCGTCTGGCATAAATGCTGGTGAATTTGTACGTTAGGATTTTGTTCTGAGTATTGCTCACCATGCCTTTTTTTTTCCTTGTCATTTGCTTATTTCTGCTCCCCTTGCCACTGTCCTTGTCTGGTTCACTTCTCTTCTGCCTGTCCCGGTATACTTCCCCCAACTTTGCATTTCTTTTCATTCTGTGCTTTCTCCTTTGTTTCCCTCACTCATTCCCTCCCTCCTTCTCGGTCCCCTTCCTCCTCCCTCTCGACCCCGCAGCTCGCTGTCCGCAGGCTGCCGAGGAGGCTGCTTCGTCTTCACCATGTCCAGGATCAACTTGCGGATCCGGGAGCAGCTCTTCTCCTCCCTTCTGCACCAGGACCTGAGTTTCTTCCAGGAGACTAAGACAGGTGAGGCCTGGCGTCCAGGAGACTAAGGCAGCTGGGGCCTGGAGTCCAGGAGACTAAGGCAGCTGGGGCCTGGCGTCCAGGAGACTAAGGCAGCTGGGGCCTGGAGTCCAGGTGTGTAAGGCAGCTGGGGCCTGGCGTCCAGGAGACTAAGGCAGCTGGGGCCTGGAGTCCAGGAGACTAAGGCAGCTGGGGCCTGGAGTCCAGGTGTGGGCTTCCCCTCCACCGCACACAGTCTGTCCCCTGGGCTGCACACGGAGGTGCTCAGAGGAGTGGCTGTGTCAGCGGGAAGGGTCAGGGGCAGTTGCTGGGTCTCCATTGCGCAAGGCTTCCTCACCTGCTCTGTCCTCCCAGGGGAGCTGAACTCGCGGCTGAACTCGGACACCAAACTAATGAGTTCCTGGCTTCCTCTTAATGCCAACGTGCTCCTGCGGAGCCTGGTGAAAGTGGCGGGACTGTACAGCTTCATGCTCAACCTGTCGCCTCGACTCACCCTCCTGTCTCTGTTCGAGGTGCCTCTCACCATAGCTGCTGAAAAGGTGTACAATGGCCGCCATCAGGTATGCGTGGCAGTTAGGGAAGAACCAGTCCTAGAGGTCTCTTCTCAGCCCTCAGGGCAGCAGTTCTGGCAGCTCCATAAGTTCCATGACCCCTGGGACTGTATGCGTGTGCGGGGAGGGGGCGGGGCCGGGAGAGGTGGAGGAGAGAGAGAAGGATGGAGGGAAGGCACATTTTTCTGAGGAGAGGGTAATTTTCATCAGAGTCTTAGAGGAGTGTGCACATGCCTTCCCCACAAAAGATTAAAGCTGCCACCTGAGAGGGTTTAGGCAGCGCTCCCCCCTTATAATCAGCAGGAGTGTAGAGCAGGTAGAATGTGCGGTCATGTAGCCCCATCTCCTCTCTTTTACAAAAATTGTGGTAAATATGCATAACATAAATATTACCATTTTACACCATTTTAAATGCCATTTCAGTGGCATTAGACACATTCACACTGTTGTACCACCGTTTCCAGAAAGGGGACCTGGCCTTGAGCGGGTCTGCCTAGGACTGGCCAGCAGTGTGTGGGTTCTTGACTTTGTGCAGGAAAATTTTACAACATGAGTCCAGGTGACTATGAGGGAATGTTTATTATAGCTGCGGGCATAAAACAAGGAAGGGCCTAGAAGAAGCTACAGGAGAGCCCAGGCTGGGCTGCCCTAGCTCTCTGGGGAGTCAGAGAAAAGGGGCCTTGGGGGCAGGTTCAGGGGATTAGCCTGGGACGAGCTGCCGCTGCCCAGTGCTCCCCTGGTTGCAAGCCTTGTGGGGTCCATTGGACGGAGCACCTGTGTAGGGTCCTTTAGGGTTTAGGAGGTGCACACCTGTGGTGGGAAGAAGAGGGGGAAAGGTATGGAGGGGCTGCTCCCAGAGGGGGAGCCCACGCTGGGTCCTTTGTCTTGAGGCTTTATCTTCTCACAGGCAGGAATCTTAGGGGAGTTCTTGGGGTTTGGGGGGCAGTTCAGCAGAATACTCATCAGTTTTCTAGGTGGCCTCCTTCAGGGCCATGGTCTCCACCGATGGGTCAGTGCCAGGGCAGGGGGCCGTCAGTCATCGCAGCTGCTCCTGGCTTTGCCCACCTGGCTTTGCCGCCTTTGTGAGCCTGGAGCTGAAATACAGCTGAGGCCTAGATGCTGCCTCTAGGGAGGGGACCTTCTGCATCTGCTGTAAATTGCTCTGCAGCGTGTCCAGCTCTCTGCCTCAGTTTCCCGATTCCACTTGACCTGGCTCATGGCCTGTCTTACAACCATCAGCACTGCACCCTGCAGAGCTCTTTTCAAACGGAAACTCCAGCCCATTAAACAATAAATCCCCATCCCTCCCTCCCCCTGGCTCCTGGCAACCACCATTGTACTTCCTGTCTATGGATTTGATTACTGAGGTATCCTATAAATGGGTTCATACAGTGTTTGTCTTTTCATGACTGGCTTACTTAATGTAGCATGACGTCCTCAGGGTTCATCCATGTGGTAGCATGTGTCAGAATTTTCCTCCTTTAAACCACTGAGCCACACCCCTGGTTGGTCTCCGGTCCATGTTAAGTTACATCTCCACCTTCTGTAAAGTAGCTGTGGCTCCTTGGGAAACGACCCCTACTCTCTTGTGGAGACACAGGGGGTGCGAATGAGCTCAAATGAAGGGAAAAATAGTGTGTGTCCTCCTCACTCACCAGCAGGACAGTGCCTGCTCCCTTGTTCCCTCCCTCCTCGCGCGTTTCCTCCAGGAAATGTAGGGAGAGGGAAAGAAGTCTGCTTGTTTTCCTGGGCAGACTGGCAGCCTCGGGGCGGGGATGCTGCCACTGCGCGCAAACCCCGCCTCTCCTCCCGCGTTCCAGGCGGTGCTTCTGGAGATCCAGGACGCGGTGGCGCAGGCGGGGCAGGTGGTGCGGGAGGCCGTTGGAGGGCTGAAGACCGTGCGCAGTTTTGGGGCTGAGGAGCACGAGGCCTGTCGCTACGAGGAGGCCCTGGAACGGTGCCGGAAGCTGTGGTGGCAACGAGACCTGGAAAGGGCCCTGTATCTGCTCTTCCGGAGGGTGAGCCGGGGGCGTGGCCTGGGGGCGGGGCTGGAATCCTCCAGGGGTCCCTGCAGCTCCCTGTGGTAGGGACACGGGCGGGGCAGAGGCTGGGCTGGGACCGGAGGACGGGAGGGCTCTGTCTCAAACCCGCCTTCCTTCTCCCTCCCAGATGCTGCACTTGGCGATGCAGGTGCTGATGCTGAGCTGCGGGCTGCAGCAGATCCTGGCCGGGGACCTCACGCGGGGCGGGCTGCTCTCCTTTCTGCTCTTCCAGGAGGACTTGGGCCACCACGTGCAGGTGCGTCACCAGCCGCGCATGCTCTCTCCGTCCCTCTGTTTTTCTCTCTGGCCTCTGCGCCTTGGGATTTATTGGTTCCCCTTAAAGACACAAGACAAAACTAAATCCCAGCTCATTGTGTTATGAGGAATTTAAAACATGCCCCCTCCCCAAGGACACACTATAATGAACCGCATGTACCCATCCCCCGCTTTAACAAGGATCAGGTCATGCCCACCTTGTTTCATCTTACGCTCCCCTCCTCCCCACCCATAGTATTTTGAAGATAATCCCAGAATAATTTCATGTGTAAATATTTTAATTGTACAGCCCGACTGACATAGCTTGGTTATATATGTAACCACAAAGCCATTATCGCACCTGAAAAATTAACGATGATTCCTGAAATTCACCAAATGCAGTCAGTGCTCCTGGGCTTGCCTCGTACATGTAAGGTGTGCATGCATTGCATCCCCTCTCTCGGATGGAGCTGTGGTGGCATCAGCCACGGGCTCTGACACTGCCATCCCCTCCCGTGCCCGCTGGGCACACTCCCCTCCACTGCGTGTTGGACTAGAAAAGGAAGTAGGAGCATTTAGCTCATTCCCTGGATTTACCAGGCTTCAAAAATAGTTCGTCACTTCATCTTGGGCTTTATTTTGTAAATTCCCTAGACATTTGTTGAACATGTTTTGTGTGGAGAACTGTGGGAGGCGCACGGTGGGCACAGTGCCCCCTAAGGACGTCCCTGTGTCCCGGGCAGGTCCCTGTGCACCAGCACAGCCCGCAGCGGGACCAGGAGCTGCCGGACGGGTGGGTGGGCGGCCCGCGGTGCAGAGCGGCTGGCACAGGGGGCAGTGGTGCTGCTTGTAG